GTTGACTTTGAATTAGATGAACCTGAGGAGGTAGTGACCAAAAGATCCATTGATGGTGCACTTGGCATTTTGAAGGCATGCCTCAATTCCAAGACTGTGAAACGAGTTGTTTACACCTCTAGTGCCTCTGCTGCGGCTTTCAATAACAAGGAAGTGTTGGATGTCTAATAATAAGTGTAAGAAAAAAATGTGTCAGCATTTCTCTTACAAATACCAATACCTAAGACTACCTGAAACATATTCTCTAATACACTCTATTTAATTATTTTGTCTCATGATTTTATAATTTTTAATAAATTTTAATTAACAAAAAAGAGCATATTTAGATGAGTGTGTTCAGATTGAGTAACACGGGAATGAACTTGACCTAGGACTGAGAAACTAAAACTTTATGCCAGAGTTTTATTTTTCTTTTATTTTCTTTTTTCTCTAGCAACACACTATATAGTATAGGTAATATGTCAATTGTCAACATTAGAGGTGCGTGGTCTGTTTTAATATTTATATTTCATTGTTTTTAGTAGACATACATAGCTTTTACACTATCGACCACACTAATCACTGTTCAATGGCCTATAAGCCTATTTCTGGACTACAGAATTACCTTGTCAGTCATAGTAGTTAATATACCATACAAAATATATCTATCATAAAAATTATTTCTGTTACACCTTTTTTATTTTTATTAGAGAAGAGACTAGAATAATAAATACTTTTAGTTGGAGCGACGTGGATAGTCTTAGAGCTTCAAAGCCATTTGGTTGGTCCTATGCGGTTTCAAAGACATTGACAGAAAAGGCAGTGCTTGAATTTGGAGAACAAAATGGATTGGATGTTGTCACACTAATTCCAACTTTTGTGTTTGGACCCTTCATTTGTCCAAAGCTTCCTAGCTCGGTTCAAGCTTCCTTGTGTTTTGCATTTGGTATATGTGATGATATAGTTTTTGCTTCTCCTGTTATACCATTTATTAGTTAACAGTGTTTCAAGGCCATGATTCATGTCACTCACACAACATGTTTAGCAATTCTAATTTGAACAGAGTTAACATAGGATAGATCACACTTGATAACCATGCTTCAATTCATGAAGTTGATTAAGATTCTAAATATATTAAAGGAAATTTATGCAGGAGGAAAAAGTGCCTTTGGTTTCATAATTCAAACACCTATGGTGCATGTAGATGACGTGGCTAGAGCACATATATTTCTGCTGGAACATCCTAATCCAAAAGGGAGGTATAGTTGTTCACAGTGTCTGGTAACTTTTGAAAGAATCTCTGAACTTGTTTCTGCCAAATATCCAGAATTTCAACTAGAGACAGTAGAGTGAGTTTCTATTGTATTTCCTGTTGTTACACACTTAGACACTACTATTAATGTGATTAAATATTTTTTCTTTTATTTCATTGCAACAAATATTTGCTTATTTTTTGCTGCAGCTCGTCCAAGCAAATTGAAGGTATCAAGATACAAGATTTGTCTTCAAAGAAACTGAAAGATGCTGGATTTGTGTTCATGTACGGACTTGAGGAAATGCTTGATGATGCAATCCAATGCTGCAAACAAAAAGGGTTACCTGTGAGGTAGTTGTGTACCCTTTTTATGTCATATGATGAAGGTTATACATACAATAACATAACTATCTGTGCTGAAAAATGGTTATTCAAGCTACCAGTTGATAGATTTTGGTTTTGGAATTGGACTACGATTCTATTGGTAATAGAAACTAGCTTTTGTGGCAATAGCTATTGATTCGTTTTGGTTTTGGTTTTGGTTTGTATTAAATAAATCTAGCAACATGTGTTGAGTTGGTTGTGGAAAATCTAGATACATATGTTTTGTAAAAGTAATGGAGTTGTGGGACTTTCCAAAGGCTATCACAAATGCATTCGTGGAACAATCAATTCGATTTCAATAATTGCAAATAAGAATTGAATGACCAAGGTAGGGTGATGTGAAGAAATAGCACGATTAATTGCTGAAACAAGAATTATTCTGGTTATGAAATAATCCGATGTTAAATCTCTACACAACAAAACCCTGTGAAAACGACAGAAAGTGTAATGAGATAAAGAACATTTCTGTTAATTATGATAAAGATTAGCACTTTTGTTATGATAGAGACAAGTTAGAATTGTGATCCGTATTAACGGATATTCAAATTTATATAGTTGCCATTAGCTGTACAATTATCTTGTTATATAGGCTTAGGAGCTTTTCTTATTAGTTTGTTGAACTTGTTGTCTATAAATATATGTTGGGTAAAAACAAGGTCTCATATCGATAAAATAAGAGAAGAAATAACAATTTATAAAGTACACACACTTCAATGATAAATGAGCCTTTTAGATGATAATCAAAAGCAAAATTGTTAAGACTTAAAAATAATCTAACAATATATAACAATGTAAATCTGAATTCAAATAGAGAAATACAATATAATTCTCTGTTCTATAATACAATACAATTCAAATAGAGAAATACACACACATACCATAAATCTTTTGAGTAATAATCAAAAACAAAACCAAATACAATACAATTCTTTGTTCTATAATACAATACAATACAATTCAAATAGAGAAGCCTTTTCGATGATAATCAAAAGCAAAATCGTGAGGACTTAGTAAAATAACCCCAACAATTTAAATAGAGAAATACAATATGATTCTCTGTTCTATAATACAATACAATTCAAATAGAGAAATACACACTCATACTCCAATGATAAAAAAGTCTTTTGGATGATAATTAAAAGCAAAATTGTGAGAACTTAGTAAAATAACTCCAATAATACATAGCCATGTAAATATGAATTCAAATAAAGAAATACAATATACTTTTTTGTTCTATAATTTCTTATGGTATCAGAGCTCCAAAATCTTGAACAGAGCATAAGGTTAAAGACTCAGAGAAGAAATCACATGCCTTCGAGATCATGAATGACTCAGTTATTATCACTCCTTTATCACCATATTATCTTGGATCATCAGACAAATGGGAACACCATTGGGGGGAATAAAACTTACTTGCGATAATTATTGAAATTGGGCACAATCTATGAAGACAACTCTATGTGCCAAAACAAAACATCGATGCAACATTACAAAACCTACATTGACCTCCTCCTGACTATCAAAAGTGGGAGAAAGTAGATTCAATGGTAATAACCTAGATTATCAACTCAGACTCCAACATTGTACTCTAGCATCTCACACACAACCACTACAAGAAAGGCTTAGTTGGATTTAGAGGAACGTTTTGCTCAAGCTAATGCACCTTGCATATTTCAGTTGTGGCAGACTCTTTGCTTGATGCAACAAGAATCCAACATGATCATGATTGAATTCTAAACCATGTACAAAAGCTTATGGGATTAATTGAGTGAGTTGCAACCATTGCCTGACTGCACTTGTGGTGTAACAAAGGAGTTGGCATAGAGAGAAGAAGAGCATTGTGTCGACTTGTACCATGAAAGCTTGGGTACAATAATCGTTTTGCTCATGTTAAAGGGACTATCCTCAACATAGACCCATTCTCTTCCTTCGCAGAACTTTCAACCAGATATTGAGGGATAAAGCACAAGTCATATATAATAGAAAGAAGTAAAGACACTAGACAAGAAGTAGGAACAACATTCTATGCACCTAATTCACGCAAGTAAAGGGGACGAGATGGACCTAGATAGAAGTGTGAACATTGTGGGGAAATAGGACATGAAAAATCTAGAAGTGAGTTGGTGGGATATCCATCCAACTAGGACTCCAAGTGGTCACAATGTGATCACAATAAATCCATTTCCAATCAAAGAGGTGCTTATATGGCTTCATGATTTTAAATTGTGGTTGCGGTCGCGGTTGCGGTTGCGGTTGCAGTTACTGCGATTGCGGGTATTGCGGGTATTGCGATGCGGATTGCGGCTGTTGCGGTGTGAAATTATTAATTATTTTCACTAAATATAAAAAAATTATAATTATCAATATATATTTTATTTTTAAGGATTTATACATTTTAATTCCTTTTTTTTAATATTCTATTGTTTTAATGAATAATTTAATTTATTTTAAAATTATAGTATCAATTTGTCATATATATTGCGGATGTATTACGGTGCATTTCAGATGTGTTGCGGACGCAACACCGTTACGTTGCAGAAAAATGTGTGAGTCTCACCGCAATTGCGGTCCGATGCCGTTGTGGACAAGGCCGCAACAGCAATATTGCGGCCGCAATACGTGTTGCGGTCCGCAATTTAAAACCATGATGGCTTATATGGACAACAACTGAAAAGATGTCAAGAAAGTTGTGAGTGGTCATGCATCCCATATGAAGCGCAATGCGGACCAACATGACTCCATGGTTGGTAATAACATGATGAGTAAGGAAGCAAGTTAAGTCTTGGAAAATGATGCATCTCACCACATGAGCCCTCTATATCACCTTTTAGAGGAAGTTCAAACCCTTGACAAACCATTTTTTTATCATTGTGCCAATAGGAAACATAGTGATAGTAGAGACAATGGGAATCATTACTCTATATAGCAACATTAAATTACATAATGTGCTTTATGTCCTTAAATTTAGTTACAATCTAATTTTAGTCAACAAACTAATTATAGATTTGAACTGCATAGTGACTTACCATGCTACTTATTGTGTGATACAGGTCCAAAACACAAGGAATTTGATTGGCTTCGATGATTTTCATGATAGGGTTTATGTGCTCAAGAAGACAAGGCAAGGGTCCTCTCTAGTTGCTATACAAGTCGACACAAGCACACTTTGATATGTCAAAATGGGACACCCATCAACTCCAGTATTGTAAAGGCTCTCTAATTTTCTTAATTTCATTTTTAATATGAATAAAATGGACTGTTGTGATGTATGCCACAAAGTCAAACAATGAGAATCAACCTTTCCTTTGAGTAATAATAAATCTGAAAAGTCTTTTGTTTTAATTCATTGTGATCTTTGGAGGAAATATCAGATTTCATCTCATAATGGGTCTCATTATTTTCTCACCATAGAAATGATCATATGTGAACAATATGGGTATATCTAACCTAGACCATGTCTTGGAATTCCTTATAGAAAAGCAATTTTCAAGCAAAAACTAAGAATTAAAACCCATATATATTACCAAGGTCCAAGGAGATTTGTATCAAGATTTTTCCAAAATGTTTTTAATTGTAGTCTTGGTTTCTTTGGGGAGCTACAATATGATAAATCTGCAGAGCTTAACTATTGTTTAAATGTTGTAGGAGAGAAGGGTCTATTTTCATTTGCTCCACCGCACCAAGGAATTGATGGAGATTGGAGTGATAAATCTGGAGTAATTGTATACAAATGGAATGAGAAGAATAACAGGCCAAACACTGGCCCTGCCAATTGGAAGAAGAGATGGAGCTGCTGTGCTGAGTATGATCAGAATGCCCCACCTTGTAGACGTGGCTGGCATGTTTCTTATGATGATGGTTTTACTTTGTACTAGGTAGCAACACTCTCTCTAACACTCTGTAAGACTCTATTTAATATATATTGAAATTTATTGAAAATTACAAATTATAGTCTTGCATTTATTTAGTAAGTCTTTTTCCTGATTTAACAGTAAAACCAGCTAAAATTTGTGATTTGAACCAATTGTGGAGAGTATTTGTTGAAAAGAGTTTTGTTAGCATTTTTCTTAGATACAGTTCTAGTTTTGAATGATACATCTTTGTTGGTTTCTTTTGAATCTTCTATTTATGTTTTGATTAGAGATATGACCAATGTCAACAATTAGACGTGCAGGTGAAGATACAAACTTGTGAACTTGATGTCTAATGTATAACCAAAATGAGTTTAGCATTCATGAGTAATGGAATTTCCTTTGATTTCATCTTTGTTCTGTTTTTGTCTCTGAATTTGTAATCACTTCACATTCCAGGTAGCTATATTGATGAGAGGTGAAAAAGTTTCAAACTTAACCTAGTTGGTCCTGCCTTGTCCAATCTATTTATAATCATCGAAATAAAAGTCAGATGCAAGCTACAGTGCCAATTACCGAAGTTGTTCACTGCGAATCTTATGCCACTCTCTACAAGTCACATTAAACCGCAGATGGACTTTCCAGTCACAAAGATCAGCTATCACTTCATATCAGCCTAACCAAAATTCTCAAGTTTTTCTTGTTTATATATAAGAAACAGAATATTGCATGAATGCATCTTCAGAAGCTCCCATTGTTCTATTACTATCATAGCATGTTAGAGAACAACTTTGCAACAATCAACATAGAACATAATATTATATTTTATACAAATCAAGAAGGTTTAGAATGGTAAAAAAAGTATTTTCTATTGTCAAATAGCAGTCCAATCCCAAAAGAATTTTTCATTTTATTACATAGATAACTATTGCCTTGTGATATGGATAACAATTCCAGAAATGACATAAAAAAAGGTTACTCAGATACCTCATAGGTAACCTTTTTCTTTGCAGCATTGAATTGTGTCATCAAGCATTTCTTCAAGTCCATATTTGAACATGAATCCAGCATCTATGAGCTTCTTTGACGACAAATCTGGTAGCCTGATACCTTCAATTTGTTTTAACGAGCTACAAGAACAAATAATAAAATACTTGTTACATTAAGAACAAAGAAAAATCATTTACATAAATCTAGAATGTCAATTGTGTAACAACATGATGAAGTACATAAAAACTCACTCTGCTGTTCGTTGTTGAAACTCTGGGTATTTGGCAGAAACAAGTTCATATATCCTTTCAACAGCTTCATTACATGATGAAATTATGTACCTCCCATTTGGATCAGGATGTTCAAGCAGAAATATATGTGCTCTAACCACATCTTCCACATGCACCATAGGTATCCGAGAATTTAAGGCAAATTGATCTCTGTCACCTGCATAAATTTCCTTTCATTAACAATCTTAAGCACAAACACTTGGTAAAATATAAAAGTCAACATGGCAACACTACACATTCCCTTTAACTCATTCTTCAATTGGTTAAAAATTATGTGAGTTTCACTCCTTATTTATTATGTTTTATTCTCTATTTAACAAGTTCAATATAAATTTCAAGGAATAGCAGTATTTTAGAGAGCATATTGCTTGCTTTTCTCAATTCTCGTACTATTTGAGGTAAAGCAAGCAGAAGCACTAAATTCAGCCAAAATAGGAAGGTCAGAACTACAATCAAAGGCAAACACACCAAACATAGTTATCATATACATCTATCCTTTCCTAACTTTTCTTCAAATTTTGTCAAAGGGACATGAGTTATGATCTTCAAACTCATTATCAATTATTGGATTGTAGAAAACAGGACAAGCAAATTGCATCACATACCAAATGCAAGATTCAATGCATCAGAAACTGAACTTGGAAGCTTAGGACAAATGAAGGGTCCAAGAACCAAAGCTGGAGCAACTGTCACAACATCCAATCCATTCTTTTCTCCGAATTCAAGTACTGCCTTTTCTGTCAATGTCTTAGAGATTGCATACGACCATTTCAACATCTTTGAAGAACGAAGATAATTCAGGTCGCTCCAAAAGCTTTCATCCATCACGTGTTCTTCTTTGCCATTGCAAATCACAGCAGCGACACTAGAAGTGTAAACAATTCTCTTCACAGTATTGGAACTGAGGCATGCCTTCAAAATGCTTAGTGCACCATCAATGCATCTTTTGGTCACTATTTCCTCAGGTTCTCTTTGTTCAAAGTCAATTGGGGTAGCAAGGTGAAAAACTCCAACACACCCTTCAATTGCTGAACTGAAACTTTCTGGATTGCTGAGATCAGCGCTGAAAACTTGTAGCCTTTGGGATGCTCCAGATAAGCTGGTAAGAAAGCTAACATCTTTCCTGTGTTCTACTTTATTTTACAAGTAAACATTTGTAAATCAAGTAGAAAATATAATTCCTTCATCAACTAATCAGAAAATTCATTGTCCTTCTAATATCCATGTTGAAAGTGCAACAATCATATAATTATTATTGTAACACACAAAAAAATAAAGATGTATATATTGAACTCAGACTTTCAGCTCAAAACTGTATAGTTCAATTAAATGCACAAAATGGATAACAATGTTTAAACAGGAACGACTGTAACAATCTCTCTAACATTCTACTTCTAATACAGTATTATCAGTCGAAATTTATTAGGAATTACAAAATTCTATAATTTCTGATTTGTGTAACTAGTATTTCTCATGTTAAAAATGTTTATTTAACAGATGAGGTAGCTTTACCTACCTGGGTTTTGTCTCACAGTGGTGTTAACAGAGTAACCATCTTCCAGAAGCCTCTTCACAAACAATGAACCAATAAATCCGTTGCCTCCTGTAACACACACTCTTCCTTTGCTTTCTTCCATTTTCTCACGTCTTCTCTTTCTCAATATGATGACTGGTTTATATGCAATTATTTGATGATCAGGAAAAGAAAACTTGTAATGTGACACTACCACATTTTCAAAACAGCTTCGTGTCTACATATAAATCTCGTCATAAAAATTTATTAGATTTAATTAAATAAGTTAAATAGCTTCCATGTTTCCTTTAGTAACTTGTTATTGGTGTGAAATATTTATTGGGTCAATAACTAATATACTCGGAAAATCTCATTGCTTACTACTCCAGTACTCCCAATCACGTTTTTTCCATTTACAATATTCGAATTTGAGATCTTATTTAAGGTGATCAAACCTAATACTATTTGCATTAATGACTTGTTAGTACATAACTTCCATGATTAATATTTAAGTAAATGTTGTTATGAATGTTATCGATCCATTTCTAAAATGTCTGGAGACATAATTACCAACCGAAATCTTATGTCTGTTGCATAAACATATCCATAAACACTTTTAGGAGAAGAAAATAAGAGGAGAAAAAGAAGAAAAAAAAATATTTTCAAAAGATAAAATTACTTATACATAAAATTAATAATTGGTGAAAGTTCTTCGTGTTCTTCCATATTCTTAGCTTCCACAAATTATGTTTTTAAGCTTACGTATAAATTAATTTGAGCTCGTGAAAAACCTTATTTAATTTTTTTTTTCTTATTTTCTTCTCCTAGGGGTGTTTGTGAAAAAATTTATTCAAACATATTCATAATTTATGTTAGAAGATTTTACCTTGTCTACCTCAATTATTGAGATGCAATTTATATATCTATTAAACAACATTACTTAAAGCTAATTCATTTTAAAATTGTATCTAATCTAGTATTTAAGCTTATAGTCCATCATGGTAAATAGGCTATTCTAGTAAGCTTACATATATTCTAGGAAATATCAATAGAGGAGGATGTTGGAAACTCTCACATCTTTCGTCTTAATTCTTAGAATGCATCTTTTATATATATATATATATATATATATATGGATAACTTCACTTTCAATCGTTTTTAAAATCAAATCTATCATATTGAGAAGTTATTATGAAGACTTTGAATAATTTACATGAGATTCAAATTTCAAATTAGTATAACGCATAAAAATTATTGATAACGTGCTTAACACTATGGTCGACAGATTTTCTGCATGGATGATGTAGGCTGATGTGATATCCACCCTCGTGAGCCACAATGAGGCTGAGGCCGAGGCCAAGTCTAGACCACTAGCTTCTGCAGGCACCACCATCTTTTTGTCGGGGCCCTACCCCGGCCCCAAAACTGCCATTAAGATTCATGTCAATTACCAAGAAGTTGGGGAACATATAATGAACTTCACTTCACATTAAGTTGTGCCACCAACATGCGGTTCTAATCTTCTTGGAACTCATCATTTTACAAATTAAGTGATCATGGCCATTGCTGTTTTAATTAAACATAGAATCTTTGTGGCCCAACCCACCAGTATTTGCAGCTCATCCAATACATGGAGTCGGACTTCATCACAGAAATTTTTTTTTTTTTTTTGGTTTAATATCTCTTGAATTATTTTGAGAATTTTTAGTTAGGTCCTAATTTACCTGAATGAAGTTGTAGTTGAGTCCTTGAATTCTGCAACTTTTTGTAATTGGATTCCTAGTGTTATTTTTCTAGAAGTTTTATGTCGTCAATTGTCATAAACTAACTACATAGAGCCAATTAAAAAAATTATAGAAAATCAATAACTCAATTACTATTTTCTTTTATTTAAAGAACTAATTAAAAGTTTCCAAATAGTTAGGCATACTTATTATGTATTAAATTCATTTTTTTTCTTTTGTTTTTTCATTGAGTATCTTTTATTTTAAGAAAGTTTAAAGATTCCGAATTATTAATATTCCTTTTCTTTATGATATGCTCAAAATAATATATATAAATTAGGATAATTTTTATCATAAGTTAACTTGTTGACATGTGAATAGTAACTTTCTTTTAGAATAGAATTAAACTAAAACACAAATTTTAAGATAATATCAAATCATTTATAAATGACCAATTCTATAAACTTCACGTGAATATCAACTCAACCTAACAAATGAATAGGCCCTACATCCTCAAATGAACACACAAAACACTACATGTCAACAAAGTGTTTCCACATACACGCGATTTTCATTAATGCTGCCTTTGGTGCCAACGAATTCGAGGAGAATCGCGAAGAAATGAACGGAAGATACTGTTCATCGATGTTTGGCGCAAAGGTAATGGGAAGAAATGAAAGGAATAGCGATTAAATTAAGACAGCTTTTTCTTGACTTTTGACCATAATAAAAATAAAAAATTATTGAAATAAATTAAAAAATAACTATTTATCAAAATAAATTATTTTAGTTAGGTAAGATAGTGAAGATGAAGAAAATGTAGATATATATGACGTCTTCTTCATTGAGAAAAATGAAATAAAAACGTTAAAGGCATTGATGTCTTGTTTATGACATTTTTGGTAAACATGAAATGTTATCATGATGGATGTTTTCTGTGCTACGTTGAATGTTCTTCGTGTATAGTTTTCAGAGGTTAAAAATGTCACTCTTTGGAGCTTAAAAACGTCACTAGGATGGACGTTTTCTATGTTGTTTTTGAAGCTTAAAAACATCACTGATGGCAAAGCTAGGTGAAGTGGAAGGAGATTCTTCTCTTGGCTTTGCTCCAATGACTTGATCTTTTCCTTGAGCCAATTCTGGACTTCAAAATCTAGATTAAGAAGAAGATCTGTGGAAGAAGAAGGAGAAGGAAGCACCAAGGCTAGAGGAGCAAATGATTGCTCACAAGGTGCTGAGCCTAAGCCTTCTAAGAACCCTAAAAGCTAGGCATGTGAGTGACTTTGAGGGAGAGAATTTGCTTAAGCAAATGGGTCAGAATTCTCAATATATTCAAAGTGACTGAAATGTGAAGAGATAGCTCAATTTATAGGCTAGAAAGCAAGCAAATTGGCGCCTATCTCAAGGAATGCAATTGGTGCCGGAAATTTGAATTTCAAATGGTATTTGAAATTCAAATTTCTTGGCAGTCCCATGTGCATGTCCAAGAGGTGATCCAATGTGCATTAAGGTTGTATTTAGAGTTAATTTGATGTTGATTTGGGTGGACCATGTGCAACACCATATAGGCTAGCCCATGTGCACCAAATGCAACTCAAATTACTCCTAAATGTGACCTTAATTTAGTTAACTTTGCCTAATTGAACTTTTCCTTTATATTCCTATTCTAATGGCCTAAATACAATGACCAACCTATCACAAACACTAAGAAATAATAAAAGAAGAAAAATAAGCTCAATATTGGCTACCAAAATACCCAAGGCCCATTAAGCCCGAAAACAAGCCCAATAAGGCTATGGCCTAAAAATCCTAATCTATGTGGTCTAAAATACAAGACCAAAATATATGAAACCTATACTAATATTATATGTACAAATAAAAGACAATGGAAATCTCAGGGTGTGGCCCATATGAGGAGCAACTTGGGCCTACCAAGTCTGCCGGGCCCATCGGGCGCTGAACTAGCCCAAATCTTCATGTCTAGCTCATTCCTCTTGGATCCTTCAATGTGTCACCTCTTGCCCTCCTTAGCATGATTCCATCAGTCACCCTAGTAGATGTTTTCTACGTTGGTGGTGCATGGTTTTTAGGCCTTAAAAACGTCACCCTAGTGGACGTTTTCTAACACAGAGGTTTTTGTTCATGATTTTTTTGTGACGTTCTGCAAGAATTTTGGACGTGAAAGTCTTTCTCAGAACATGTTGGTGTTGTGAGAACCCGTGATGATAGTTAGGAGAGTGTGAGAATATTGTTTAGTGGGTGTGAGAATCTTGTCCACCCATGCCCATGATGATAAAAAGAGCATGAGAATATTGTTCAGTGGGTGTGAGAATCTTGTCCACCCATGCCCGTGATGATAAAGAGAGTGTGAGAATATTTCTTAGGGGGTGAGAATCTTGCATTTGCTACTTAAAAACTTCAGAGGGTGAAAACCTTTGCATAACAACATTCACTATAAATAAAGCATATAAGGAGGCTTTCATTTTTCATCTTTGTATCTGAACTTTACATTGTTCTTTATATCTTCATGTGATATCTTAAGATTTTATTTATTGTTTTCTTTTTTCGTAAGGTCTACTTTCATTTTAATTTTTTTTTTAATTTGCTTACTCTATTATAATGGTAGTAGAATTAACAATGAGCAAGGTTGCATTTTTACAAGTAACATAAAAATAATTCGTGTAAATCGTGGATTGGATTTAGAATCTTTAAAAAAAAAAATTCATGCGAAGTTGAAATTGCATCGTAACCAAATTGTTTCTAACATCACTTGCAGATATTTGCATTGTCTGAATCCAGTTTTTTATCTAGCTGGAGAAATTGCAGACAATGAAGATGTTGTATTCATGTTTGATAGTTTTGAACGGCAAGGTCATATGACTATGGTAGAATTATATATTGATGTTGATATTATTGGCACATCTTTTTATTGAATGAAGCACACTCATGCTATGAAGTACGGTCGTTTTTGGCTATTATGCATTGTTGTTCTTCTCTTTTGGAGCATTTTTGGTTAGGAAAACACACTTTTATTATAGAAGAATAGCATGCTTAGTAATGTTGTTGAATCACTATAAAAAGAAATTACTAGATTTTTCTCTTAGATTGTAATATAGGAAACAACCTAAGTTATTCTTCTCAAAGACACAAGTCAATATAATCCAAAATTATCACACATGATTAGAATGGGGATTTTATGAATATTAAATAGTAATTGAACAATAAAAATGTAAACAAAGAATTAAAAGAAAATTTCAATAAGAGATTATATCGATTCAAAATTTCAATCTTTTATAGTAAAATTTTCATGGTTCAAAATATAATCCGAATTACCAAAATCAAAATGAACATAATTAAAATATAAATCTGAATATAGATACAAATCTAGATTTAATGAATTTCAT